GGGGGGGAGGGAGGGAGGGAGGGAGGGAAGGAAGGAAGGAAGGAAGGAAGGAAGGAAGGAAGGAAGGAAGGATCCTTCAAGGGGATCCTGCAAGGGTCCTTCCACCAGAAAAATCCTTTTCCCCTTCTACCAAAAAATTCCTTTCCTGAGATGCTGCCAGACTGGGATGCTAACTGATTTGTACATTACTTGTGTTCCTTCTGAAGTCCATTCTCCAGGATTGGGTTAATATGAAATGATGTTGATGAAGGTGCATGGGGCAGGCTGAGGGCAAAATACAAACTAACATACTAACACCCTCCCCCCCCCCCCCTCGCCCCCAACATGGGATATGCGTGATACTCTTCAGGCACTCCTGGCTGCCCTAGGACAAAGAAGAGGAAAGCAAACAAATGGCTGATAGAGATCACAGTCATACGGGACAGGAGTCTCCATCAGTTTACAATGGTCTTGGTAAATTAAAAGATAAAGGCACTCTTATCAATAGCCTAATCTCCAAAAACCTATAGACTCCATTTCCTGGAGCCCCAAACATCACCCCTCAATAATGATATGGGGAGCAAAGGCAAGAAGGAAAAGGCAGGTAAAATTAAATTTCCTCATAACCTGCAGCCCATTGACAAACACTTGAGGCAAATACAGAGTGTGGATGACATTTCTCTAGGAACCCCCCACCGTCCTAGTGGTAATGCCTTACTGGAGGGAAAACAACCTTTGCTTGACAAAAGCAAGGCCTCAGGTGTCTTAGGAGTCCTCTTCAGCATATCAAAGTCCCTCTGGAGGTCTCCCTTTTGACTTTACCTCCCCAACTTCATTGTGTAAAACCAGTCACTTTTCACAACCCCAGGGCAGCTCTTTCTGCCCTCAGGTCCTGTCCCGTGCTTTAATATAATCACCTTTTTGCACCATCCACGTCTTCAAGAATTCTTTCTTGGCTGTGGGCTCTGGACCACCCCACGATCACCCCAAAACCTCATCAATGTGGCTTGAAACAAATAAGAAGAAAGCATGAAGAATGGGCTTTTGGGAACTAGGCTGAGAAGGTGGAAAACAGTTACAATAATAGAAGTGGGGGTGGGGGAAGCTACCTTACCAGTAGAATAAATAGCTAAAACCAAACAATTAAAATACGCAAGGCATCTTCCAAAATGTTTTAGGGGGATTACTATATTTAAATTTCACCACAAACTGCAGAAAGGCGTACTACCTCTACCTTTCTTTGCAAGTGGAGAAACAGGCTTGAGAGTTTTGAAATGGCCACAATCTCCAGATAAAGAAACTGTGCATTTTCACAACTGTAAATTTTTGTTAACATATTCACAAACATCTGCTACACTAATGAGTGCCTTTGTGTAGATTCGCTAACATTTTAGAATTAGGTCCTGAACGTTAGAGACCCTCGTTGAAGGAATCACAGGCATCAAACCAAGTTAACTTCAAATACTGCCTGAATCAGTCTGAGACAAAAGGAAGAAAAATGAAGAACTTCATTCCGGAAGCGAAGGTGACACAGTCGTCCACATTGTCGCATACGGCACATGGACACTCAGGCTTTGCTGTCACAGCTGGGAGACGACACCAGAAAGCATGTGGCCAAGTGCCTAAGGCTTCCGCAAAAAAAAAAAACCCAGCGAGCACCGCAACGGTTTCCGGCTAACCGGATTCCCACCTACAGAACAATGGGGACGAAAGCGGCGTCGGCGTCTCCAGCCCCCGGCGCCCCGCTCCGCCGCTCCCGCCCTGCAAACCCGGGAGGGGGAGGAGCCGAGGAATCGAAAGAGAAAACAGGCGGCGGGAGCTGGCGGCCGCCGGCCTCCGGGAGCGGGGCGCGGGGATGGAGCTGCGGGCCCTCTGGCTGCTTTGCTGCTGCTTCTGCTGCTGCGGCCGCGCTGCGGACCCCCGCGCCACCTTCACGGCGACGGAGCCGCGGAGCCGCGAGCGACAGGCAGCCGCCTTCCGGGTACCGAGCGCGCGCCGCCCTGTGTCTGTTTCCTGGTCGCCCCTTCAGGTCCCGGGTCGGGGCTGGGGCAGGGGACCAGTGAGAGCCGCCACTCCTGGTGGTCACCCGGCCCGCAGCTCAGTGATGGGTTTGGGGTTTCTGACAAGTTCGCAAGTCAACCTCTCCCTCCTTTCCCCATGTGCCAGCTCTCCCTTGCCTGGGCTGACCAAAAGATTTGATTTTCTGGGGAAGATTCGTCGCGGTAGATTTATATGATACGCCCAAAGTAATCAATGGATATGTTCAAAGTATTCTCGATTGGAAGAAGCACCCCTTTTAGCAGTCCCCTGGACTGCCCTCACTGCCTTCCAAAGCCGTTCCTTTACAGTGAAAAGAACCAGATAAAGGCGGAAGAAACCCGTCAGTTTTCCTTCCGCAGGGGGGCGCTGGTGACCTCCTGTAACACAATGTTCTAAACAAAGAACCTGCATTTAGAGAGGTCACAGAATCCTTCCCATTTATGATTTGCGTGAACGGGGCCTCCTTCAATTGGTGTAGCGACCTTAAAAATTCTTCTTCACTTGGTGGAAATAGATTTTGAAAAGGAGGAAGCATTTAATTTCCTTTTCACATTATTTTCGGAAGTCTTCATAATAATGCTTAGATTTTTACCCCAGCATTCAAACTCTAGAATGGACCGAATTAGCTGAATATAAATAGGTTTTTACGGAGATCAAGAGATACGGATTTAGAACTTGCCTCAGTGTGTTCTCTGTATCTGATACCATTTAACAACTTTTTTAATCATGAAAGATGTCATTTCATTGTAAAAGAAAATTGATTTGTTCTAAATAAAAGTACGAATTTAGTAATACGGCTTTTTGGAATTATATATATATATATATTTTGCTGATATACTGTTGGGATTTCTCCTGGAATTCTATAGCTGTACTCTTTTCTGCTCCTCCTCTCTCCCCTAGAAAATTCCATTGTTGAGGAAGTCCTAACCTTGCCTAATTCTGTCCATTCTTGTGTTTTGCCCAAACGAAGGTGTGTTTTATTGCTCTTGAGTTGCATTGTAGCTTTTAAAACCAGAAGCACCGGTACAATTGTTTGAGAACAAACTTCCTGTCCTATATTCTACCCCTGCCCTGAACTTGGTTGTGTACTGTGGTGACCCACACCCTGTAGGGAGAATGTAGTTCATCTCATCTATACTGATAATGGCATTCCTTGGCTGAATAAATAAACGCACTGCCTTACTCCTCAAGAAAATCATTTTGGAGGATTGTAGGCACAAGGAGGCCAGAGTAATAAATATATTTTTTAACTTATATAATTTATAAGGATATGTATTTACTTATAGAGTTATTCATGTTGGTCCTGTCAAGAGGCCATACCCAGGAGACGATTGTCTACAAAATGCAACTCTTCTCAGAGGCACCTGGGAGGTTCAGTCCATTGGGCGTCCTACTCTCCATTTCAGCTCAGGTCATGATCTCAAGATCCTGATGCATGGGGCTCCATGCTGGGCGTTAATTATTTCATTAATAATCCTTCCAGGACAGCTCAGTAAGGAGAAAATAAGATTACGATTAGTTTCAGTAATAATTTGCTTAAAAATAAAGAGCCTAAAGCTATTAAGAGCATGAATGCAAAATGTCCTTTGTGTATTTATTCAACAACAAATAGTAATTAAACATCTATTGTGTGCCAGCCAAGTGCTCAGTGCGGGAAATGCGGTGATGAGTAAGACAGGCAGTTCTTGCCCTCATTTTGCTTATAGGTTTAAGACACAGGCACACAATAAACACATAAATCCATAAACAAATACATAAGAGCTAGAGTTGGAAACTTATCAAATGGTAGTCCCCTGAAGTTTTATTGCTCCTGCATGGTTGGTTAGCGTTAGGAAATGGAAGCATTTTCTCATAGGTTAAGATAAGTTACAACATTCAGAGCCGAGGAATCTGTAAATAATGGCCACATTTTCCCTCCAGATCGACAAGCCAATGTATCTTCCTGGGACATTTCCAGGATTGCCTCTTTTTCATAAAGACTTGTTACCCTTAATGAGATAGACATCTCTATACAGCTCAAAAAGAATCAGATTTATTTATTATTTACTTGTCTATTTTGTCATGCTTTGTTACTTAGTGCTGGGAAATACAAAGATAAAGACACACTTTCCAAATTCAAAATTTTTTAATCTAATGAGTTTCAGTTGGTGATACTTTTCACTAGCATCTAGTGTTTATTTGCAATTCATTTTATTTTTTCCAGTGTGTTAAACAAACATATTTAGTGCTTTTAACATGCTTAGGGAAGAGGAATTATAAATGGATACGAGATACCTTTCGAGATACCTTTCCCGGCCTCAAAAATGTACCTGAAATCAGATGGTAGTTTTCATACAAATGCCTATAAATCTGATCTGGGCCTCTTATGCAGTCTTTCATTGTGATCTTCAGGAAAGAAATCAAGCTTTGACTTTTAATACCTGAAAAATATGCCCAATTTAGTTACATATAAATTGCTCTGCAAAGTTAACATAGGTCATGTAAATTAACTTTTTTCTTCTTTTAGGAAAGTCTTCATAGACATCGATACTTGAATTCTGTATTCCCTGGTGAAAACTCCAGTGCCGTCTATGGAATAAATCAGTTTTCTCATTTGTTTCCTGAAGAGTTTAAAGGTATGGTGTGATTGTGCCATTGGTTGTTTGGTTTCCGGATTTTTCTTTGTTCCTGTAATTTTTGATGAATTCTGTAATTGTGAATCTGGTGACGTGAGTCATAGTTAACATTTATTACATACTGAACGTCAAGCATGTGCCAGGTGCTGACAGAAAAATTAATTCATGGTCCTTCTCTTGTAATTATTGCCTAAGATCTAAATGTTATAATTGTAGACGTTTCCATGTGGCTGAAAGGGCCAATGTTCCATCCTTTGTGCAGTTTTTTAGTGCTGTTTCTATTCAAGACATCCACAGTTCCATGGGTTAGGATAAAACCAGCGATGTCAAGAAGACTCATTTTTATTATTGACCAAGTTCTAAAAGACAAGTCATTTTCTGTGGCAACTCCTAGTACTATTGTGGGAATTCCTATCTTGGTAGCTTTCAGTGAGTGCATTTCATGTTACGAGAAAGCATAAAGGAAAATCTCAAATGGCAGGTTCTACCAGAAAGCTACTGTTTCTGTTTGAAAAGTTCCTGCAAAAAGAATCCCAGGGGGCCTCCCTATAATATAATGTTGGCTGCCTTTTCCTTCCATGTTTCAATTCAGCTATTTACTTAAGAAGCAAACCTTCCAGATTGCCCAGATACCGAGCAGAAGTGCAAACATCCATACCCAATGTGTCTTTACCATTAAGATTCGACTGGCGGGACAAGCGTGTTGTAACACAAGTGAGAAACCAGCAGACGGTGAGTTTCAGGAGTTGTTGTTGTTGTTGTTGCTGCTGCTGCTGCTGTTGCTTTTCTCTTTTTAAATACTCTTAGTGTGGGAAGTCACCTTTGAGGTCCAGTTCAGTCAAACTTGTGATAGAAGCCATCATTTCTCTGGGTAAAGTCACAGAGATGATCTCCAATCATCCAGAAATGACAACTAAGGGAGAATCTCTGGTGAAATGAGAGACAGAGGCCAAAGCCTGACTGTTATTTTGAAGATAAGCCTGTCCCTCTGAACCCCCACCATTGGCATAGGCAATGTCAGCTGACCAGGGAAAGTCGATCCCCTAATCACAGGGATACAGTCTCAGTTTATCTGCAGTGGAAACCTCACCAGGTCTTTTAGCTTCCTGGTGTGCAGTGTCTTAGAGCAGTCACTATCTGGTTAGGATGCCTTTTTTACTTCTCAGGTTATACATCCGTTGATATAAATTCTACCACCAGATCATTTATTTGCTTTATTATTGAATCCAGAGTGAAGTATTAGTCAGAAACTGAATCCTTCCAGGAAGTGTCTGTATTGTATTAAAGGAATACAATTGAATTAATCTTTTTTTTTTTAAACTTCAACAGACGAGGGGAGTGCTTTCTTTCTTTTTTTTTAATGTTTACTTATTTTTGAGAGAGAGAGAAGAGTGGGGGAGGTGCAGAGAGGAAGGCACAGTATTCAAAGCAGTCTCCAGGCTCTGAGCCGTCAGCACAGAGCCCGATGTGGAGCTTGAACCCACAAAGTGTGGGATCATAACCTGGGACAAAGTTGGCTGCCCACCCGACTGAGCCACCCAGGCACCCCAGAATTAGTAATATTTAATCAAAGTAATATACTGTAGGGGTGTCTGAGTGGCTCCGTCGATTAAGCATCCAGCTCAGGTCATGATCTCATGGTTTGTGGGTCTGAGCCCCACGTCGGGCTCTGTGTTGACAGATCACAGTCTGGAGTCTGCTTTGGATTCTGTGTCTCCCATTCTCTCTGACCCTCCCCACTTGTGCTTTGTCTCTCTCCCTCTCTCCCTCTCTCTCTCTCTCTCTTCCTCTCTCTCTCCCTCTCTCTCAAAAACAAACATTAAAGTATTTTTTTCTAATTAAAAAAAAAAAAAACAAAGAAATATACTGGAGAGATATTTTTGAACAGAAACTGCCCTCCTGGGGCAGCTATGGAAAGGTAAACTAAAGCTAGCTATTGGTATGGTGCCCTGCAATCTGTATTTGCTTTTCTCAAGGTGTGGAAACCCACAAGTAGAGTTTGTTACTGCATATTTTCCTATGCCATAGGCGCTGGAGATATAGATCTAGTAAGACACCTAAAGCACTAAAGTTGCTCGACAAAGACGACCAATTGTTCGTCTTCCTTTCTTTGCATGGGCCATGCAGCCCATGTCCTATGATTAAGGCAGCAGGGCCCAATTGCAAATCTTACTCTTACCTGTGCCTTTTCTATGGGTCCTTCTTCCTTGTGCATGATCCTTGATTTCATTTCCTCCATCTTTCCCCTTTTTTTCAGGACCAACACTTTTATTCTTTTGTTCCAGTTTGTTCAATAAGATCCAGTTAATAGATCCAGAATCAGGAAGAGTGTCAGGCAATATTTGAGTAAGGCATGACCAGTATGGGTTTTTATCATTATGACATTTTATGGGCATACGTGATATGCCCGTGCTGGCTCCTTGACAGCCTAAAAAAGTAAATCATTCAGTTCCCGTGTCCATCAAGTCATGAGTACAACGTATATGACATATCCTCACCCCATGTCACCTCATGGAGATGGTGGATGTCATAGCGGCAGAGTGTCCAGGGAGAAGCAAGAAGGAAGTTGGTACACTTCCTAAAAGCAGAAGTCCCATTCAATGCACTGGTTAGTCTTTTAAAAGACCATCAGTTCGTCCAAGTGTTTTCTCAGTCTCTAAAATTCGCTTTTTTCTTGCATTGTCTACTGTGCAATAGCAATACTACCAATTTATCTTTTCTTATGATTACATTTTGATGCTTGAAAGAGAATTTTGGTTTTCCTTTCTTTTGGCAGTTGGAAAATCTACAGGATGGGCAGTATTTTGCACACCCCCCCCCCCCCCCCGCAGAGTCTGCTCATGTTAATTGACTTGATAACTTGTGATATGTAGAGATGTTGGCAAACTTGGTTTGGACATCATTTGAGGATAAACACTATGCTATCTCTCTTTTTAAACAGTGTGGAGGTTGCTGGGCCTTCAGTGTGGTGGGTGCCGTTGAATCTGCATATGCGATAAAAGGGAAGCCTTTGGAAGACCTAAGTGTTCAGCAGGTCATTGATTGTTCATATAATAATTACGGCTGCAATGGAGGGTCTACTCTCAATGCTTTGAACTGGCTGAATAAGGTGATTTCTCGGCCTTTCGAACTCTTCGTTTCCGCTTTTGTTTACTTAACATGCATTTAGAATGGAAACAGTTTACTCCCATATACCAAAGAATGTTTTTAAGTTCAGAAATTTAAACGACCAAAGCTTGAATTAATCAGATTTCAAAATGAATTGCTTTCAGGCAAGTCGGCTGTTGAGAAATCAAAGCGTGAAAAATCTTACCTGAGATCCGTTTTCAGAAAAACATGTATGTTTATTTCTTAGCACTTCTTAATAGGTCAGTGCTCTTTTACATAGAGACATTCGCATCATGTCCCAGAAGGATGAGAACATACGATTATTGATTTCCATAGAATTTTTGAATAATGAGATTATAAGGGATGTTAGAAATCAGCAAATGTAGTAACTATTTATGTGGATGAAGAAATGAGCCCTGAGAGGTGAGATCATGTTGCCAAATTAGCAGCTGAGCCAGGACTGTGTCTTAAGTCTTCTGTTCCCACTGAAGAGCTTTATCCCATATATATACCACAGTGTCTCTCGGTGTTCTTAGGACACTCTCTGACATTGTCCTCTATCCAGTATCCACTGCATGAAGCCAGACAGTGAGGCTGTTGCTATGTTTTGTAAAAGTGGTCAAGCTGGAATTTCCCAAATTTGAATATCCTTTCCTTGTTCATTTTCTGTATTTTGAGTCACTGCATACCAGAAGCTGCTCGGTACACATCAGGGGCAACCAAGAATGGTGTGGTCCCTGGCTTCTGTAACGCCAGGAATCAGGAAAGTAAGATTGCGTCTCGACAACTAAAAAATAAATGACATGTGCCAGTCGAATGGCACAAAGATGTGGATAGAAAGAATGCTTGACCTGCCCATTGCCTGTGCATAAAACGCTGTGCTGAGTGAGTCTCAGAGACTTGCTGACAGAACTTATGGCTTTGGAAGGAAAATGGCTCACCTTATTTTAACCTCAGGAGAAAAATGATAAAACTTTATTATCCAGTGGAAGAAGGTTCTAAGGAAGGAAGATATAGGGAAACAATAGTAGGAGAGAAAGATAATTGAGTTTAATTACTTAGTATGTCCCTACCAAACACCCAAAGATTTAATCTAAGGTCTTAGTAACGTAAGGAATATCCGCGTGATGAGGGCGTGGCCAAGTTGAATCTTATTTTGACATGTTGCAGTAAGTTCTATATGATTTCTAAAACAATTGCATTTTAAATAAAGAACATTCTGGATGTTCATTTTCTCTTAGACGCATGTAAAACTGGTGAGAGATTCAGAGTACCCATTCAAAGCGCAAAATGGCCTGTGCCGTTACTTTTCTGATTCACATTCTGGATTTTCAATCAAAGGTTATTCTGCATATGACTTCAGGTAATTGTCTTATCCTAGTGTGTCTTTCCCTCTATTTCTTAATTTCTGATCCGTTGGCTATTCAGAATTAATAACTTGATTGAAGGCATAAGTGCCTACTTATTTTAAGACCTGCTTTTTACTAAAGAGACCAATGGAGTGCTATGGTTGTTACAACAACCAATGGATGTTGTTTCTTATGCATGATCAGCTTATTTTTCCATTTGTCATTAGAATAGAATTAACACATTTAAATCCAGCTTAAGGTGTAATTTATACTGACCACCTTCCTCTTAACAAATTGAGTTGTCATAATTGCCATTAGTATATTTCAACCTTACTGTTGAATCAATCCACAATTGCTTTGTGTTACTCTCCAGCTAATATCAAGCAATCTACATGACCAAGAAGCATTTTTTGAACACCCTTGGATTTTTTAAAGCATTAACTTTAAGAAAAGCATAAACTGAAACTTAGAAGCAAGTAAGAGTATATTACTGGCGGTAGATTATGCAGCATGCACTATAGGCACGAGGGACGCACAGGGGTGGATAAAGATAGGCCGAGGAAGGGCCCTGAAGTGTTGGAAGTTGAAGGGCAAGATGACTTTGGGTAGGTTCAGAGGGAAACAGTCGTTAAAAAGGGCTTTAAAAATGCATGAAAACCTGAAAGCCAGCTAGAAAACCATTGTGACCATTCAATACAGTGCAAGATAGGTGTTCAGGGATAATAGGACAAAGGAAGACACAAACAACTCCTTTTTGCGTTTAAAAAAATGTAGAGGAAACTTCACACAGTCTTTTGAAACAGAGAAAGCAGAAAGTAAATTATATTCAGCTGAGGTGACAGACTACCCTAAAACATACTGATACTGAATATAAAAGAGTCTCTTGATCCAGATGGTGCCAACCCATGAGATCTGAAGGAAATCAAGGGTGAAATTAGATCATTGAAGAAAATGGAACCCCTCTGAATAAGCACGAGTGTACCAGAGGGCTGGCACATTGCCGGCACAGCTCCTGTCCACAGCAAGGACTCTCGGGGTGACCCTAGGAACCAAACACCAGAGAACTGCGATCCCACAGACGGAGGCTCCTCAGAATCAATCACTAAATGTGCAAAGTCATTGAGTGCATCATTCCACATCTTTTTGAAGGAAATGCACTTTCAGCAATGAGAAAGTGTGCTTCTATCAGCTACCAGTTCCTTGGGAGTAAAAGGAAGGCGTGTGCACGAGAAATAACTCGATTTTCAAAATGTCACTTAAAAATTTCAGGGAATGCCCCATCATGAGTAGCAAAGTGAAAAAAAAAAAAAATTAGGAAGAAACCAGAGAAGAATAGGCATTAGCTTGAATTAGAGAGTGAGAGAGAGAGAATGTAAGTCACTGGCATTGGACCTGAAGTATGATCCATGTAATTCTTTGGCTAAGAAGAACAGAGGTCCCACTAAAAAAAATCTCTATGTTTACACTGAATATAAACATTCACTGAATATAAACATACAGTGCTAAGCTAATTGTGTTAGACTCCCCCAAGAAGATCTCTCTTTGATTTACTCATTCCTTCTCAAATACTTACTGAACTTTGTTTCAGGTTCTGGGGGCTCAGCAGTGAACAAAACAGACAAAAAACTGATTGTATTTTAGTGATAGAGACAGGCAATAAGGAAAACAAAAATATGTACAGCATGTTAGGTGTAATCATTTCTAAAAAAAACTAAGTAAAATGGTGGGAGGAAGAGGAAACATCAGGTTGAAGGAAGGGGAGTATACGGGCCAGGACGGAGCTTTTTGAAAAGATGTCATTTGAGCAAAGACCTGGAGAAGCATGGGAATATAGCCATGTAGACATCTAGGGAAATACTGTTCCCAGCAGGAGCTGTAAGGGCGAAGGCCCTGAGACAGAAACATGTTTGGCATATTTAAAGAACAATGATGCCCACTGGGACTGTAATGGAGAGAAGATGGACAAGACTACTAGGAGATAAGGTAATCTGGAAAGAAAGAAAGAAAGAAAGAAAGAAAGAAAGAAAGAAAGAAAGAAAGAAAGAAAGAAAGAGGGAGGGAGGAAGGAAGAAAGAAAGAAAAGAAGAGAAAGAAAAAAGAGAAAGAAAGAAAGAAAGAAAGAAAGAGAGAGAGAGAGGGGGAGGGAGGGAGGAAGGAAGGAAGAAAGAAAGAAAGAAAAGAAGAGAAAGAAAAAAGAGAAAGAAAGAAAGAAAGAAAGAAAGAAAGAAAGAAAGAAAGAAAGAAAGAAAAGGTTACCTAGTAATAATCTCGGAGCAGCGTTAGAAGAATGGTCTTAGATATGAGACATAATAGGTTAATACCCCTCATAGAAAGTAAAGCCCCCCCCCCCCCCCCCAGAGAATATTGAGGGATTTTATGTAAAGAATGAGAGAGGAGAGAGTCAAGGAGGAGAACAGGCTTTTTGGCCTGAACAGCTGAAAGGATGGAATTAACTGTCACTGGAGATATGAAAGTCTAAGGCAGGAACGGATTCAGCAAGCAACATCATGTTCCAGCAGTAATCCCGAGAAACTCTGGAAGGGAAATGGAGAAATGAGACAGAACAGGAAAGGAAGGGTTTTCGTATTAAGCAAAATAGAACTGAGGGTACTGGTCCTACCGGGGAGCTATTGGGGCCAAGGTAAACTATGCATTTCAATGTTATCCCATCCAAATTGATGATCACTGCATTCCGTGTCAGTTGAGGGTGCTGCCAGGGTAGAGGTGGGGGGGGGGGGGTGAGCTGGATTTCCTGGCTCTTTAAGAGAAGAGCCTCAGGCAAAAAACCACAGCGGGCCCCATGTTTGAAGCCAGGCTGATTGTGCCCCTGTTACCGCCTCCAACACCAGCACCACCACCGCAGTGGCAAAGGCCAGAGGACTTGGGAAGATTTTCCACAGCAACGCTGTAACCAGGCACTCGACTAGGCCCCTAACACTTAAATACCGTCACTTCCATTGAGGTTTCTGAGACTCAGGGAGGGTCACAGAGCTCGTGAACTAACTATAGGGCCACATTAGAATTCATATTTGTCGAGCTCTGAAACTCCTACTTTTTCCCTCCCTCTATTTCTCAGGTCATGAGCTCTTTAATTTTTCAGTAGTTTCAGACAGTGTGAGCCCACACACAGCTATCGGCCAAAAACTCCAAAAAATCTCATGCAGAGCCTGAAAAGATTAAAACTAAGCCAACCAGCAACCAACCAAACAAGCAAAACCTCACTGAATCATAAGAACATAGTCTAGTCGCAAAGGAAAATTACCATTTATATCCAGGCTTCTTCATGCATTTTTGTTTATCAGGCCCCAGGGAAGACCTTTCAGAACTCAAAATAAATATGAGAGTGACTATGTCAAGAAAAAGAGAAGGAACCCCATATTAACAATGGGCTGAAAAACTAGGGCACGGTATTAACACACTGAGTTCTAGGAATGAGAAAATGGAAATCTACATACTCATGTAGAGTCTAGAACAGAAAAGACCTACCTTAGTCACTAAATCTCGATGACAGTAAACTTGAGAATTCTTTTGAAGATTGTAGGATTTGTATCTTACTGATCCATAAAGTGGATAGTAAACATATGGGAAAAGATTTGATAACGTGTCCATTATCAGCAGAGTATATTTTGATAGTACACTTGACCCTCAAACAACACAGGCTTGAACTGCATGTTCCACTAATACGTGGGTTTTTTTCCAGTAAATACAATATGGTACTGTATTTTATTTTCCTTATGATTTTACGAAAACTTTTTTCCCTAACTTTATTGCAGGAATACAGTAATTGAGTACATAAAATGTACAAAAAATAGGTTAATCCACTGCTTATGTTATCAGCAAGTCTTCCAGTCAACAGTAGACTATTAAGGCTTTGGGGAGTCAAAAGCTATATGTGGACTTTCCACTATGTGGAGGTTCGGCACCCCTATCCCTGGGTTCACGGTCAATTGTAATTCTATATTGGGCTAATAATGGAAAAAAGATGCTGTTTGGAGTATATTTGGACTTGATAAAAGCCAACGTCTTTCTGAAACACAGATGGTAACAATGCTAGTCGGTTCTGGGGCTAAATGGAACTTTTGCCTGCTGGTCTTGACTGGCATGTCTTCCTATTTCGTATTTTCCAGCATCTTTGATATCTTTTCTTTAGTGCTGCCTCCAAGCAGAGACTATTACTCAATTGGTTTTTGATCGTACAATGTTAATTACCCTTTGCATTCTAAAAACGATTTCTTCTTCTTGATGTTTCTCTTTCCATCATGCTGTCCTTGACACTGGATCTTTGATGTCATATATTTACGGTATAGCTTTTGTTTTCTTCAAAAGGTAGAGACAGCTGTATCACTGTTTTACAGAGATAATCCTATTTGTCATATTTGGATAGCAAAATAGTCAAAATTTTTACTATAAAATGTTCAAAAATTTGAATACAATAAAATACACATTATACACTACAATCTATGCTGAGCAAAATTGGTTTATTAGATAACTTAGAAATAAGAAAAGGAAGCAATATTTATTTTAAATGTAGAGTATGATTTATGTGTAGGCATGCTATAAAATTTATACCTACAATTTTATCCTTATACTGATTTGCGACATAGATGACTTCAGTCACCTGCTGGAGTCACTGGACTCCAGTGTGACTGAAATGACTCCAGTCTGTAGCTGGAATTTGAACCTAGCTATGTGGAACTTCACGGACTATACCCTACCTGTCCCAAGGTAATATTAATGAATACAAGTTATTATTACGGTAGCAAAAATTGGGATTGACTGCTTATAGATCTCCAAGAAAAAGATCTTCGTGTTAACAGGTAATATGGATAAATGTTTAGAATGAATGTGTAGTTTCTGTCTCAATGAATTCTCTTATGCACTCAGTTTTTTCCCCACCTGTGGACAAAATATCCCCTTGATAGAAACTGATCTCCAGCTGGATATGACGATGGATTATTTACTCTTTCAAGCTACAAATCCAACCATAGCTTGCTGTGGCAATACACTCCCACAAATGCTATCTAAATGGCTTGAAATGTGAGTGACTTGGTTTCAGTGTCCACACACAAAGCTGACCTGTAAAAGTGTAAATAATGGTTTAATCACATACTTCCAAGATTGATGACGGCTGAGTGTTGTGTAACATTAGGCTTTATCAGTACACGTCCATGTGTGAGAGCAATAACTATGTCTTTCGCAGTCTTTGCAATCTAGTACTGGTTCTCCTGGTACCTTGGCATCTCTTCTGTTGCATAATGACAGTCGCCACTTTGAGATAACCCTCCCCTATGATTTCTGCATTTGGCGTTCCGTTAACAGAAGTTGGTCAGTTTCTTGATTCTCACATGGTGTGGCAGAGATATGTCTCCGTGCATTCAGTCTTCTCACTTTCCTTATTAGAAGAATCCCCTTAGAACTAGATGCTCTAGCTAGCTACAAAACTCCACTTCCCATCTTCCCTGAAGCTAAACTTAGTTAACCCGTAACTGAGTACTAGCCAATACATATACATATAAGCATATGCACAATGTGCACGTTACTTTTCAGAAGTCTTCTTGACAGGAATGTAGCCCTTCGTTCTCCTTTTTGCTGTTTAAAAGATATGTTGAATGGCTAGAGCTCCAGCAGCCACCTTGGGCCACAAATTGACCTTGGCAATGGGAACCTCACATGGCAGAACGAGAATCTAGAAAGATTCTGACTTCCAATATCTTGGAGCCTCATAGCAGTCCTGGGCTGTCGATCTCCCAGACTTCTTCTAGTTTCCGTTCTTTACATCTTCTGTAATTGCAACCAAATCTATTCCTAACCATGCACAGATTAAATAGATTATAAAATATCTTTACCTCAAAAACTAACCTCCTTAGGGCACCTGGGTGGCTCAGTCGGTTAAGTGTCCGACTCTTGATTTCGGCTCAGGTCATGATCTCACGGTTTGTGGATTCAAACCCCACATGGGGCTCTGGGCTGATGGTATGGAGCCTGCTTGAGATTCTCAGTCTCCCTCTCTTTCTGCTCCTCCCCTGCTTGTGTTCTCTCTCTCACCTCCTTGACTGTATATTTCCTCTTTTGGTAGTGACCAAGAAGACGAAATGGCAAAAGCACTTGTCACCTTTGGCCCATTGGTCGTGGTAGTAGATGCAGTGAGCTGGCAAGACTATTTAGGAGGCATAATACAGCACCATTGCTCTAGTGGAGAAGCAAATCATGCAGTTCTCATAACCGGGTTTGATAAAATAGGTAAGTGCTGAACAGACTTGATTGGTTACTTTCCAGCCTGAACTCTGATTAACAAATGATCGCCATTATTTTTAAAATGCTGAAATTTCGGGGCGCCTGGATGGCTCAGTCGGTTAAGCATCCGACTTCAGCTCAAGTCATGATATCATGGTTTGTGGGTTTGAGCCCCACATCGGGCTCTGTGCTGACAGCTCGGAGCCTGGAACCTGCTTTGGATTCTGTGTCTCCCTCTCTCTCTGCCCACCCCCTCACTAATACTCTATCTCTCTCTCTCTCTCAAAAATAAATAAAAACATTTAAAAATCAATCAGTCATTCAATCAACCAAGCTGAAATTTGGTTGTTCTATGTCTAAGTCCTCCTAAGACCTTTACAGCTTTTCAGTAGACTTCCAGGTACAAATGCCCTGTCATGTCCCCCCCCCCCCCACCAATCAATTAACACCGTGTTAAAACGATGATAATTCTTGATTTAAATAATGTGCATTCTCCACCTCGAATGTTTACAATACTTGTTGGGAAAAAAGACCTGCTTATTATTTTATCATACATATCTAACAGTTCTCCCCCCCCCGCCCCCCCTTTCCTAATTCCCTGGAATTGCGTGTATGTTTTCATATCATGCTATCCAAATTCAAACGTGTATTTTTCCATTATTAGAGTGTGACACTAACTACAGCTCTGATTTACTTGGCTAGTATATATTAGAATAACATTACATTTTTAATCTTTTGCTCAGAGCTACTATACTTATCCAGAACTAGCCTTTAAATAAACATGCATTCACAAAAAAATCTGAGTTTTTCAGAACTTGTTGCCATTTTATATCTTGTAGGAAATACTCCATATTGGATTGTGCGGAACTCATGGGGAAGTTCATGGGGAGTAGATGGCTATGCCCATGTTAAAATGGGAGGCAATATTTGTGGTGAGTCATGAATTGATGTTTAAAACTTCAGGCTAACTGTACAGGAAGATACTTTGACTATATTAAAATTATATACCTGTCCAGTCCATAGTATACTTTTACAGTAATAATTTTCATTCTTTAGCCAACTGTTACAAATAAAATAGTGTTGGGGCATCTGGGTGGCTCAGTCGGTTAAGCATCTGACTCAATTTCAGCTCAGGTCATGATCTCGTGGTCATGAGATCGAGCCCATGTGGGGTTCCTTGCTGGGCCTGGAGCCTGCTTAAGATTCTCTCTCTCTCTCTCTCTCTCTCTCTCTCTCTCCCCCTCCCTCCCTCCCTCTGCCCCTCCTTATGCCCCTCCCCTGTTCATGTGCATGCACAACCATGTGCTTGCTCTCTCTCAAAAATAAATTAATTAATTAACCTAATTAAACAGTGTTCTTAAAAGAGACACTATTGCATATGTTCATATTTTGAAAAGGAGGAGAGACTTCCCTGAAAACAAATATAATGAGCAAAATATGATAAAAGGGTGTAATAATTTACTGAAGTTAACTTCAAACACCATATAAATAATCAACTTAGGAGTCCAAAATTCTCCAAAAACATCACCTAGTTCTAATTTATTTTATATAACTGTATGAATTTTTCTCAACTTGTGCATTATCATATTCGCTCAAGGATTATCAAAAATCACTTTTTCTTTGTATCAAAATGTATGAAAATATGGGCATTAGGATGGTCTCTGATTTAATATGTCCCTTGTCACACCTATAGATTCAAGCAAAACAAGAACTGGGATTGAGAGGCTAAAGCAAATACCAAATATACTTATCTTACTGAATAACAATTTTTTTTTTTGGTAATTAACTACAAGCAAAATTAAAACAGCTAGTTTAGTATTTTATGCTGTATTCTAAAAACCTATATTTAAACCTATATTCTAAGGTTTTTGATCTAGAAAATCAGCATAGTTAGGAATCAAGTTTGAGCCAAACTATATTACATATGAAAGTGATCATTTAATTTCTCATTACAATGATTCCTAACATGCATACAGGTTTTTTAAAAGTTGTAGAACCCTCCAGATAGACTGAGAAAAGAGAGTACAGAAAAGTTTGACAGTTTATATTTTGATTCAGCCTAGTGACTACTGGCCAATAGTTGCATAAAGTAGGATCCATGAGAGTTAATCAATGATTTGTTCTATCACCCCAATAAAATATTTATCTTCAGTTATTTATGAAGGAGAGTGATCCTCACAGAAATCTTCCAGCCAGAGCACTAGCAACCCGATCAGGCCTCCACTTTTTAGCATCATCGGGGGCTTTCACATTTTTGGAACTTGCAGGTAAATTACTGCTGCCATTCATTGAACTTCTGCTGCTAAACATAAATGATCTCTGTCAAAGTGGTGGTGCTTGGATCTAGGCTGCTTCAGAGCTCTGGCACGAGAGTTGCAAGAACATGATTCAACATTGGTTCATAATTGCCTCATTTTGACTCTGTATCCCTCCCCCCACACACACCTCTTCTTCATCCCCCATCTACTGAGGGTGAGTTGAAATAATTTCTCCTGTCTACCTGTTTTCCAATTTGATTTTCCAAAGCTTGCCTGGTTAGTAATTATGTAGGGATCCAAATCCTTCCTGAAAATGAGTATTTCCTGAAAGTTCCATACCTGGTGATGATCACATTTCTCTTATGAATGATGTTATGACACAGACAGCATCCCATGGCCCCAAGAGATTTTAAATACATAGCTAATTACACTGAAATCCAGTCTTCAAATGGACTGTTTATTGCTTTCGCCATGATATTGAGATGTATGGTCTTGTGTGCCAAGAAAGCATAGCACATTTGTGATTTATTTAAATTTTGTGCAAGTTCCAAGTTTGAATTTTCAAATTGTATTTAAAACAGTCCTATAAATAATTGTATTGCCTCTAAGCAATATATATGAGTGCAATAAAGATTTCAGATATATTCATCTATTCAGGTAATAAGTCTTTGGGGGGTTTTTGTAGTTTCTTGAAACAAAAATATTAGTCATGTCTTCTAATATCTTCTTTTGAAGTTGCCATATTTATCCTAACAGCTATAATCATTCCATTATTTTTTGGAGGAAATAGACTAGCACTGATGATTTCTTTTTTTCTAGGTATTGCAGATTCTGTTTCTGCTGTATTTGTGTGATTTGTTGGGCAGATCAAGGGACAACTACGAAAATGAAGGTTCATAATGGAATGGAGCATAGAGTTCATTCTCAGTGTTATTTGCCTGTAGGCCATCAGCTCAGTGGCCGGGAAGTAATCTGTGGAAGAGTTGCCTACTTTAGGATGAAGGTCAAGTTAAGAATTTCTTCAATTTGAAGACACTTACCTGGTTTGATTATTGTTTTTGTTTGCTTGTTTTAATGATATACTTCTAGTAAGATTAAAGGAGGGATAGGGATTGCTTTTCCTTTGTAGAATATAATCACTAGCCTTAGCTCACACTTATATAGAAGAAAGCCAGCCTAAAACGGGGTGTGCTTCTCACAATTCACAGCCCACCGAGATGGAATTTCTTAAAGATTTTGAAATGCCAATTGCTTTACCTCCACAAAAGACGCATACCCCTTGAGCTGTAGAAAGGTCATGTAGAAAGAAGCAAAAGGAGAAAGGCACTTTTTAAGAGAAATAGATTGAAATTGAAGGACCGATATGGCAGCTATATGGTAGGAAAAACTCAAGTAGCGTTGTCTGAGAGACTATTGTTAGGAAACTTTGTCAATAGGATTCCAATGGGTCTTTTTTCTTAGTTTGTTCTCCCTGTGTTGAGGAGCAATGCATTTTCCCACTCTCTTTCTCTTACTCTTTACTGTGCCACTCCTAAATTTTCCTAGTGGCTTGACTTCCCTGACTAAAGAAGCCTCCTATTTTTACTATTTTATAACCATTTATTTGGCTCCATTTGTTTCTAAGCCTTTATCAAACCAGGATCTCACCTTTCGGTTCCTCCCACCATTCCTAGGCACCACCCCTTTCAAAGCCTAATCCCATCAGTCTGAGGTCTCAGCCAAACTGAATTTCCTAGGCTCTCTGGTTTCCCACTCTTCTGCTTATTTTTTCCAGGTTCCCATTAGAACCACATTTTTGTGCATCTCTGCCTTCCTCCTGGTTCCTGGTTCTTGATGCTGGTGTTCTCTCTTACAAAAGTCATTATGTGTGGGTGTGTGGGAGTGTAAGAGCCTCGGGGCATAAGAGCTGACCTACTCAGTGAACAGAAGCACAATACATAGTATTAAATGGATTAATATAAGAAAATCATATCCAATATTGCATATGCAAACTTTTCTGAAATTTATGGTTGCTTTCTAAGGTGGAATATCTTAACAAAAACAGAATTTTAGACATAACAGCAGCCTCTAAAAAAATTGAGGGGGTGCCTGGGTGGCTCAGTCGGTTAAGCATCCAATTGACTTCAGCTAAGATCGCAATCTTGCAGTTCGTGAGTTTGAGCCCCACGTCTGGGCCTGTGCTGACAATGAGGAGCCTGCTTGGGGTCCTTCCTCTCTTCCCCTCTGTCTCTGTGCCTAGCCTGCTCACACGTGCTCTCTCTCTCTCTCTCTCTCTCAATAAATAAGCATTAAAAAAAAATGAGGACGCCTCATTTTCCTCTTACTTTTGATCTTTATTTATCCATCCCCTTTCTTAGAAAAAGAAAAAAGCAAAACAAAACACTGTATTTCTTTGTTTTACACCAAACCAGAAGCAATCTCAAAATAATATGTGTTGACCCAGGTTTAGAAACGTTCCAGGAGGAAAAATATTGATAATTCTGATTAAATTTTCATTAGCCAAGTAGGTCAGAAAGGAACCATGTCCTGGTTCGTCTAGCTTGTATTTATTTACTGACTTCTGTATAAGTGCTCTTCTGATCATCTTTTTCAAATATTAAATGATTTTTAATTATAAAATGAATAATACCTCTCAGCTGTTCTGGATTTTGATGGCATTTATAATAAAACAACCTATATTTGACTTTGGGTGAAAAAGACTCTTTTGATAAGTGTAAGGCCTACATTTTGTGAACACAGTGTTGATGTGCTTTACATTCACATGTTTTCTCGGCTCCAAACCTATATATTCAATTTTTTGGTTTTCCCCATAGACACCTTAACCTCAATGTGTCCAAAATTATTCCCCTTTCCCTCCTTCAAAGAACAAAACAAAACACAACGAAATGAAATAAAAATATGTCTGCACCTCCTAGAGTCACTATTTGGTTAACATCATCAACATTATGTAATCACCCAATCAAACATAGTGGGGGAAATTTTAGATATTTAATCAGGTCAGCTGCACTTTAGTAACCCATCACTTAACCACCTACCTCCTCTCCATTTCTACCATCCTTTCCTAGACGCATGTTCTTTAGAAATGTCTTATCTCCACTAGTCAGTAGTCTACTTACCAGACCCCATGTCCCTTAATACATAGGTTCTCAAAGTATAGTCCCCAGACCAGAAGCCACTTGAGGACTTATGAAACACTTTGTTTTAATTAGTGCTCCAGGTGATTCTGACGGATGTTATTATCATCGATTTACCGTGTGTTCCCTGGATTTGCATTTCTGTGAGACATCATTATCATGTTATCCCCCTGCTTTAAACCGTTGGGGAGCTCTGTAATGCTTAAAAGATAACATGCCAACTCTTGGGGCACCTGGGTGGCTCAGTCGGTTAAGCATCCGACTTTGGCTCAGGTCATGATCTTGAGGTCCGTGAGTTTGAGCCCCGCGTCAGGTTCTGTGCTGACAGCTCAGAGCCTGGAGCCTGTTTCGGATTCTGTGTGTGTCTCTCTCTCTCTGACCCTCCCCCGTTCATGTTCTGTCTCTCTCTGTCTCAAAATAAACGAAAAAAAAAAAAAAAGATAACATGCCAACTCTTTTTAAATACTGTTCACAAAGAAGCCCCTTTTCTACCTTCTTCACCTCAGTCTCTGCTGTTCTACATGGGCCTGTGCCATGCTCCAGCCCTAACTAGCTACTTGAAGTTCACCCAGTGAGACTAAAAGAAAAGCAATGAAATTTTCACATAATAATTGGGAGTCACAATGAAAATCATCAAGATGTTCCTGGGTGTGATTTCACAAAGGGAAATACTAAAGATCTCAAAGTGAATACCAAATTACACAACTTTATACAAACTCTGCATCCCCTTTAAAAATTTTAATTTGAAGTGGATCCTTATCATTAACACTAGAAACAAGTTTGAATGGGAGCCCAGGTAGAAACTGGAATTATAAATTGTTTTGACTTTACATTAAGAATTACTAATATACCCTTTGGAAAAAAAAAAAAAAAAACTCTTACAACTCTATAGTTTAATCACACCAAGAAGTAAAAATAAAAAGAGCTAAGTCAAATCATTTAGTCTGTTAAAAGAATAAACCTTTACAAATAGCATTCATTCTAAGATTCCAAGGCATCTTGGTGACAGAGCGTCTGTTAATGTATTTTTTTTCATTACTGCATGAGAAAAGCAAAAGTTGAGGTAAGTATTTATATCCCTGTCATATAGATAGTCAACTGGGGCTTAAACTGGAATTTGTACCAGAGCAGATAGTTAATAAATGGCAGTGCCGGAATTTGCTCCCAAGCTCCCAAGCCATTGCTTTTAGCCACCATTTTACTTGTCTCTATAATTTTCAGCTTAGCCACAATCAGGTACTATGTACATGTGCCCATGTACACACACACACATACACACATACACGCACACACACAAACATGCTAGGGCCTTGTAAGTAAAAGCAATTCTATGTAATTGTCCAGAGACAAACTAGACGTGATCCTTATAAGATAAAACTTGTAACTGAGACCAAAGAATAGTTCAATTTCATCAAGAATTTGCGGCTTGCCTATAGATAACCACCCTAGGTCAAGACTGATAGGCATTTAAATTCCTTTGATAATATTTTGCACTCCCTTCATAAAAGAAATTTAACTAAGTATTGCCAATATCCAGGCCAATATAGAAAAAGAATAAAGCTCCTGTCTGATCTAAACTCTTGGTCTAATACTTACTAGAAATGAACTGAATCACTGTTTAGTCTATTTTCTCCTCCCTTCTTCTGGAAAGTTCAGGGAACTATCACTCATGTCCACTTCAGTCCTGTGTTGACTATACCTCCCAGAACACGAGCACTGGAACTGGGAAAAGCACCTTTGCCTTTCTGGTCTAGAGGTGCTGGAAGCAGGAACCTCGCCCGAGGAAGGCGCTGGCCTACAACAAGGAAGAATAAAGCCAACACCTACAGAAAAGAAGAGATGAGACACAGAGGATCCTCAGAAGTTCCAGGAATATGGTACTCCAGGAACTGGATGCATCCCCAGGCTCCTCTCAATCCTTTGAGCTAGTGGAGTAATTGCCAAGTCCCCTCTGGGCAAACTTCAGATAGATTTCCGTCATTGGTCATCGAGAGTCCTAATAAATACGAGCAATGTTTCCAAAACAATATATGGCAAAATATCTCTTAAACTTTTTGATTGTACAACTCTTTGTGTAGAATGACACATTTTATTGCACAAAGTATTTGAAATTGCTGAAGTTTCAAGCTTATTAAAGTACAAAATGAGATAATGATTATTATGTTAAATGGTTTACCTTAAAGTGTAATTATTAGGGGACATTGAGGTTTTAATAGGAAAACCTTCTATGTACAATGTTACAATTCAGCTGAATTAATTTCTTTAATTCATTATTACAAAAATGAGTTAATAAAATTATTTACAGAATTGAATCAGAGCACCACAATGCTTACCTATATATATATATACATATATTACATTAGGACTCTTGATGTATCATGACAACTCATAGAAAATTTTAAAAAACACAGACTGAGAAATCGATGCCTTCATAGATCTGGAGATGAGTTTAATCTGATTCATCACTGCTGAAGTAAGAGCTGTCACAATATTCAGCCGTGTAAAGGAATTTATGAATAATTGGGTTCATCTTCGGTATCCAGTGTCGGGGAACCAGATATGTTGAAAGATTAAATAAATCTACAAACACCTTGTACCTGTCACTGGAAAAACACAAATATACAGATGTAGATTCATTGGCATGAAATATTTAAAATTTTTCAACAAAAAAATTTCATGATTTTTTGCCATAATTAGTATTTAATATTATGTTTATATATTATAAATTACATTTTATGTATTATATATAATATATACATATATATAATTAAGGAGTATATTCATTAAGATGGCCTTATTTTCATCCATATCCAAAGTTCATGCCATAAAACAGTATTACATGTTTCATTGATCCTGACCAAGTTGGTTCAGATTAAAACCTAGAGTCTTATGATTGTCATGCTACCTTCATAAAGATAAGGGTGTGTTCTTGTGTCTGACTTTTAAAGGAGGGTATGCAAATTTTAAAAAATGAAAACACAGAAAATTCTTAGTTGTTCATCAGGAAATATTTTCCACCCGCCAAATAGCTGTCAAGTAACTGACATGAATGGATTAATAAATTGAAGTACCATCTTAGATTCATAATAAATGTCTATAAATGTGGTTTTAACATTTACAATAGCTCTTGTGTGTGTCAAACATTTTAACTGTTGCAGTTTTACAGCAGAAGAGCATTTGCCTTTGAGGTCAAATTAGAGTTCAGTTCTGCTCTGTCACTTGCGACTCGTGTGATCTTGGACAAGTTGTCTAAACCTCAGTGTCTTGGTCCCTAACTCTGTAAAATAAAAACTACAATCCCTTCCTCTGACTGGGCTTTTGTAAAGACATAATGAGATCATGACACGCTAGAAATGCTAGTTGTGTTAATTGTGTTAATTATTCCCACCACCCACTGATGTGCCTGTAGGAACAGGCAATCATGTTCTGTTTCATGCTTAGAGAATGTATCCCCAGGGAAAGAGAAGGTATTGTAAGGACTGTGAAAATTCAAACCTATGAATCTTATAAATCTTTTAGTCTAGAGTTTATTCCTAGGGAAAGTGAAAATTTATAAAAATGATGAAAAATTGAGCATGCATGTTTTATAACTTGTCAATCTGAAATTGGGATAGGGATGAATAGGGATGAAAGCCATGTACAATATAAAGAATTTGGGGGACTAAATGTGAGTATCTATTTATTCTGGAGCTGATTCTCCTTTCCCAAAGAGCTTTGCAAGTTTCCCTGTTTTCATATATGTCTATCTCTATATCCATCTATAATATTGTGAACATTAAGTGAGTTAAGAACACAGATGTCCTAGAAATCTCTCTAGCATGTTTTAAGTGCTAAATAAATATTGACCCCTTTTCTTGTAAATACTCTCTGGGCACTCTCTGGAGTAGATGGAAATAGTTTTTAGAAAATAGTCATACCAGGGAACAAACTATTTTTTCACTCTGTCATTCACCTGGGCACGAGGACATTAGTGGAATGAATGATAAGTGTTTGAGTCTAGTCCAAACTTGGGCCAGAATGAGTTGAAAACATTCCTATGTGGATGAACTCCCTCATATCTTCACAGGTCATGCAGCCACTAGTACCTTGCCCCATCTCATCTCAGGATGAACTTCCAGGACTAAGGATTTTTACAACGACCTCTCTAATAGGAATACCTTAATCTAGCCAGCATGAATGTGTTGTCAGCGGTTCAGATGGGAGCAAGTATGAATCACATTTCCTAGGTAATGCACATGTATGCGGAGAAACAAAAAATCAGTGACTTCCACCAAGAAAAGCAGGTGAATTTCCCCATCTTACCTGACTGTTGAGCGCAGATACTGATAACCAGAGGACCCACCAGTGCCAGCTTTGCTGCCCAGCATTCTGTGCACCATGCACACATGGTTATCTAGGCAAACACACAAATTAACTCCATGGATATTTTTCTGCCTTTAGTTCCACAATGGTCTAAAAACAAGGGGTTGGTAATGATTACTGCTTCTGAGAAAAGGTTCACACCTTATCATCACTTAGCCATATGGAAGGTTTACGTGTGAGAGCCAGATGAAACCTGTAGGTTGCCTGGCACCCCACTTGGTTCAGGTTACATGCATATGACTCCATCCATCATTATGTTTAGCCTGCAAACACAATAGGGAAGCTTAGGGCCGCATTATGACTTTCAGGAGCCCTTGCCACTTTTGTCTTCACGCATGGGTCCCTTCTTCCATGAAACACACACACACACACACACACACACACACACACACACACACATACACACACACATATATATATATGTACATATATACGTATATATACACACATGCACATATGCCTATATATATGAACATATACATATGTATATATGTGCATGTGTATAAAATTATATTTTAAAATTGTGTTGGCTTAAAGCTGAATAAGTTGTGGTTATATATTAAGACACTTTTTTTAACCTATAGTTAACTTTTTCTTCTGATTATTATTTTTTTTAATTTTTTTTTCAACGTTTATTTATTTTTGGGACAGAGAGAGACAGAGCATGAACGGGGGAGGGGCAGAGAGAGAGGGAGACACAGAATCGGAAACAGGCTCCAGGCTCCAAGCCATCAGCCCAGAGCCCGACGCGGGGCTCAAACTCACGGACCGCGAGATCCTGACCTGGCTGAAGTCGGATGCTTAACTGACTGCGCCACCCAGGCGCCCCCATCTTCTGATTATTAAATAATACATTTTCATGGGCCCCTAAAGGTACTCTGGGCCCTAGGTGTTGTGTCTGCTCTGTGTACCAGGTAAATGGCCCTGGAAGAGAGTAATTGGGCTGATTTGAAAAATAAATAAATAAATAAATAACTCGGGCTGATGTAAAAAAACAAACCTCATTCCCACACAAATGAGGAAAGAAAAAATAGTGGGAAAAAGAGCAGACAGAGAAAAGGAGTAAAGAAACAGGATGGGGAAAAGGATTATCGAGGCTGGGTGGCAGTGTTGGGAGGTGTGGGCAGACTTACATCTCCATTTGGTCATGAGTGCGTCTATGTCCATGAGAGAAGTCAGCAATTGAAAAGGGACTTGGAATCTAGGCTCTTCCCTAAAGGAGAAATAATAAGTCTATTGAAGCAAATCCAGGGTGTTCAGAGGGGCAGGAGTTTTCTAATCTGTTGGCCCCAGAAACAAATATGAACTTTGCCTCTTAAGAGCTGTAGCAGCTCTGGATTACTGTCTCAGTCTTAGTTTCTTCATCTCAAAAATGAAGATACTACTGCTCATCTTACAGCATTTGTGTAAAGAGTCTAGAATATTCCATATAATGTACATGAAGTAACCAGTCAGAGTCACAGCTAACATTGATTCTTATTAAACGGTAAATATACACTATCTCATATTCACCAGCTAATACCACTCAAAAACTTCTTCTGGTCAAAGATATTAAAACATAAAAACAAAAACTGCCCTTTATTTCCTCTAATCTATATGTTTTGTCCTTTCTTCTAATCATTCAACAAATCTCAGTACATTTTCTGCTTCCAAGGCGTGAACTTGAATGGCACAGATTTAGTAGGAATTTAGGAAAAGAGTCAAAAGATTTTATTGATATTTCTGAAGAAATGAATTTAAGAAGATTAAAAAAATCAAATAAACACAAGTAAGAGGCCCAGTAAACAGAGATTTTACTTTTGTTGCTGTTTTTAATGTTTGCTAGTGTGTTCTCCATTGTTCTGACACATTTAAGTTATGACACATGAAGATGAGGCCTTTATACACATGGGAGTAGGTGGACATTTAAGGGAAACCTCAAACACTTCAGACAGTGAAGACAATTTTACTTGAAATTGCAGGATAAAGAGAACAATTTATAAAGGTGTTTTCACTTTACCCACTTGTTTTTTTAATTTCATAAAATAGGAATAACTCTACAACCTTGTGTAATAATGGGACACATTTTATGACTGAGTTTCTGAGGTAGATTACACTTTGGCTTTTTAGGACACTTAACGTCGTATGATGTATTGTAGAATTTAATTACAAAGATGTTTAATTAACTAGTGTGTGTATATATGTATATTTCTGCCCACTATAGGTATAAAATTATACTCATACTATCTAAAAGAAAAAACTAATGAACTTTCACAATTATTTTCTAAGTTTTACCCCAAACTAAATGACTTTTTAAAACTATGATTGCAATTTATAAGCTCTATGCTTTAATGTTTATTTATTTTTGAGAGAGGGAAAGAGACGGAGTGTGAGTGGGGGAGGGACAGAGAGAGAGGGAGACACAGAATCTGAAGCAGGCTTAAGACTTGAACTTACGAACCACAAGATCATGACCTGAGCCGAAGTCAGATGCTTAACCAACTGAGCCACCCAGGCACCTAAGCTTTATACTTTTTTTTTCATGCCCTAAATATTTATTAACAACATTTACAATAAAAAACATACAGAACATGTGAAGAAAATAGAAATAAATGGCATAGCTACATATTGAATTGACTGCTGAAAAAATAAGCTTTATACTTTTTGTGTTATCTGTATCCACTCCTCAATTTCTGCTTCTACTCTTCTAATTTGCTTTTACCTGTAAAAATATATCATCAAGGCCCCCTGAAGTGCTCTGTATGACAGTCTTCTTTCACCTGTAAGATATATAGCAAGTTTTAATTTAATGAGAAATTTAGGTCAGTCATATTAATTTTGGTCATCACCTTAAATAATTACGTTTTAAATGAAAAGTTTTATTTAAATTTTCTATTCCTTAGATTTTAAAAAGCAAACATATATACATACTTTAAATACATATGTAATACATATTATACATATACACACTTTAAATATATATGTAATATATATGCACTTTAAATTTTCAAAACCTTTAAATATCAAATTAGGAAAACTTGATATAGAAAACACTTAACTTCCATGATAAAACAAATATATTTTTCAAGTCAAACTGTAAAATGACTTACTTTTAAAAAAGTTAAATAAGATTCATTCTGAGGTTCATTTGAAGGTAATTTTCTGATTCACTTAAAATCACTTAGATTACTTAAAATCACTCAGCTTCAAGGAGTACAACCCTTATATAAAATCTCATAGGGGTGCCTGGGTGGCTCAGTTGGTTAAGCATCTGACTTCAGCTCAGTCATGATCTCGCTGCTGGTGAGTTTCAGTCCTACATCTGGCTCTGTGCTGACAGCTCAGAGCCTGAAGCCTGCTTCGGATTCTGTGTCTCCCTCTCTCTCTCTCTGTCCCTCCCTCGTTCCCACTCTGTCTTTCTCTCTCTCTCTCTCTCAAAAGTAAAGTAAAACATTAAAACAAAATCTTATATGTGTGCTCTAATAAAAGGCTTTGCTCTATCGGCAGAAAAACAAAATTTTGCTATTCTTTACAGAGGTTTTATAGAGAACTGGGCCTAACAACATTTAAGTTTGCAGAATTTCATACTAATTTCATATACCGCTATGCCTTATACTAATGTTATAAAAATTAATGTTTACTTCTATTCTGCCTGTGTGTGTGTGTGTGTGTATATATATCTTATATAAGTTTATAATTTATAAGGCTTATAAGTACTTTATAATAAAAGGTCCAAATACAAATGAACACAAAAATTTTAAACATATAAAAGAGTTATATAATGAAAGTATTGATTATACTGGTCAATTGGTTTCAGAAAATAATAGCCCAACGTTAATTATGCCAGAGGGGCTAAATATGTGCTTTCCCTGGTCTGCTTGGGAAACTTCTTTCCTCTGGCAAGCCACCCCAGCCCTCACAATAGTTATTCTTTTGGTCTCCTGCTGCTACTGTACTGTTTACAATTACACCGATTGTCTTCATTTCCATCCCTATTAGGCTGTTAACTAATTGCAAACTCATATTCAATTTCTCTTGGTATCCAGCGCGGCTGATGCATATTACGAAAGCTTCTGACTAAAGTCTTTAAGATGAACTGAGCATGTGAACTTCTTCATAAGGTTGTAACAGATAAAATGAACCCAGTTCTTGTTTCTGTAAGTGGAATATAAATTTTCATTTTATTTCCCCCACGTGAGGTTTGATATTTTGAGCTCACAGGCATACATTCCGGGAAAAGGATCCTTAGAATAAAATACCTTTACTGAGGAGATGTTCATGACGTTTCTCATCAAATAAGGAGAGTAACACCTCTTTTTGTTTCCGAAATTCAGCCATTTGTTCCTCCTTTTCCTCCGATTCTTCCTTAGCCTTTAGGAGAAATATTGCATTAATATTCCCAAGAGAGATCATAGATTCTTATTTTGGAAAACATCTTTTGTGAGAAATAGACTCACCAGGAGCAGAAAGGGTATACTTGGAAAACTTACCGTAACATCTAATATCACAACAAATTATGACATGGGTCTTCTTGACACTCACTAGTTCTATCCTTTTATTTATTTTAAGTTTAGGTGATTTCTTAACCTCATGAGAGATTTTCATCAATATCATGAGAAATGGACTCAGATTGGGCAAAACCGGAAGTAACTACGAGTAGTCGGTAATGATCTAATTTTAGACAACAGTTTTTTATCACAGGAAAGGAAATAAAGGAAAAGTTAAGAATTTCCAGTCAGAAAAACTATTAACTCTATTAATATTCTATACTCAGTATTTTATAAATATAATTTCTTAGATACTTTTCACCCTCAGATATTTGTTCATTTGATATCTATTGATTCATTTCAGGAAATTCTTACTCTTTTGCCTCCAACAAATGCTTTACTTACAACTCAATTAATTGAGCTGACACAAAAATTAGTTAACTCAATTATTTTCCATTTGTCTGAATGATGGCTCATGTGGTAAGAACTTGTAGGCACATGATTGTCAGTTAATTATTCATTTATTTAGTAAATGTCATGCTAAGGTGATAGAGATAAGGTGAGTAAAAATTGAGTTCCTTGGGCGCTTGGGTGGCTCAGTTGGTTAAGTGTCTGACTCTTGGTTTTTGGTTCAGGTCATGATATTACAATAGTGCATTTGAGCCCTGCATTGGGCTCTGTGCTGACAGTGAGGAGTCTGCTTGGGATTCTTTTTCTCTCCTTCTCTCTCTTTGCCCCTCACCTTATCTCTCTCTCTCTCTCTCTCTCTCTCTCTCTCTCTCTCTCTCTCTCAAAATAAATAAATACACTTAAAAAAATCTAGTTCCCTGATCTCATGCATATATTATCTGATGAGAATAAGACACACAAATAATCACCTGGGCATTACATTGCAAACATTGATAGTAGCATATAGAAGCATAATGCCATGATAAATTATAGTAATGAGGAGGTAAGGGGAGATCTTTCTGAAGGAGTTTTCCTTGAGCCACAACCTGCAGAATGGGAAGAAGCCACCTGCGGAAGAATATTCCGAGCCCAGAGAAAAACATATAAAAAGACTGTGAAATGGTGGTAAATTCAAAGAACTAAATTCAACTTAAGGAAATTCAGTATGGTTGGACAACATGAGATCAGAAAACACCTTGAAGACTATGTTAAAGACGTTTATCTTCATTTTAAAAACAATAGGGAGACATGGGTTTCATGCAAAAGCAAAATGTGATCAGTTCTGCCCTTTGAGAAGATTGTTTCAACTGCAGATTGGAGAATAGATTGGGATGGAGTCATATTGGGGAGAAGTGTAGAATAGTTGAGAGAATATTATAAGTCCAGGTGAAAAGTAATAGCAGTTTGCACTTGATTGGTGGTGGTACATTCAATGAAGATATCTGGGAGCTATTTAGAAGGTAAAATTGGTAGGATTTGGTGATAACTTGAAGAAGTGATTGAGCAAGAGGGAGGTACCAAAGATCGATTGTACATTTCAGACTGGACAAACAAGATGGTTTATAAGAGAAAAACTTCTTCAACTTGTAGAAGACTAAGTTGACATGAGAGAGGAAGGAAGAGAAAATTGTTTTTAAGTTTGGTTTTATCATTATGTTTTTGAGAGGACTAGGAGGAAATTATAAAGTAAGGTGTCAAATATGTAATTTGAAATGAAAGGAGATATCAATGCTGGAGATAAATGTTTGGGAGTTATTGGCATAGTAGTAACTATTGAAACAGTAGGTATAAATGAGTTCATCTAGGGAAAGAGTAGAGAGAGAATACAGGGGTGTAAGCCAATGTATTGTGAAATCCCACCACCCACAGGTCGAAGAAAGAAAAATGAGCCAATAAAGGAAACAAATCAAGACAATAGGGCCATAGAATTAAAGGAAGAGCGAATGTTATGTACCAAATCCAAGGGGGAAAAAATATTCAAGTAAGAATAAGTAGTCATTATTATTGAATGCCACTAGGAGATCAAGTAAATTAAAAATGGCCATTGAATTTACAAACCTAGAGGCCATCTGTGAATGATGGGACAAGAAGATAGACTGGTCTGGGTTGAGGATTAGACGAAAGAAAAAGAAATAATTATGCTAACTACTGTTCTAAATACCTTACCAATATTAATCTAATTAAATGCTCATAATAACTCTACAAGGTAGATACTCTTATTTTCTGTTTTACTAGGTAGATACTCTTATTTTCTGTTTTACCATTAGTGAAAGTGAAGCAAAGGGAGGTTAAGTAACAGAAGAAGTTCAATGTTACAGTTATTAAGAGGTGAAGGTGGGACTTGAACCCATACAATGATATGTCAACGTCCCTGCTGTAAGCACTACCTGATATGGCTTCTCCAGATACAGCCTCTCCAGACATAGAATTGAAATAATTCTTTCAAGAAATTTTGTAATGAAGAGAGGACGGTGGCGGAGGGACTGTAGCTTGAGGGAAATGAGGAATCAACAGTATCTTTCTCAAGTGAAAGAAATTTGTAACTGACAGCAGTTAAGAAGGACCCAGGATATCTTTGGTTGACTGGTCTTTTGTGAGCCTACTTCTGTCTAGAATTGGTCATGATATGAAATTTTTGATAGAAATAAAAAAGGTCTATTAATCTTATATATTTATCAAACACAAAATCTTGCCCAGAATGAATTTATTACTTTAATTTCTATTGTACACAAATAAAATAAAATCAACCATGTAATATATTTTGTGTAGATGCGTTTGTGAAAGAAAAAGAATGTAAGAAAAATGACGTTTAAAAGAAAATTAGGGATTTGTTAAATAAAATTTTCAATACTTCATCTGTAGTAAATATATTTACTTATGGCATCATAAGTACCTGAATTCTTGTGAATTCTTCTTCCAGGCCCTTGAGAATGTTGTTTTCAAGCTTTCCCCAGAAGTTAAATCCATGTGGCTCCAAACCTGGTGTTCTTTCCAGCCACGCCTGAAGTATTATTTTTTTAAGTAAATATATTATAAAATTTCAAATATATAAAATACATTGTACTTAACATCTATGAACTTGAAATAGGAAATATGTCATAAGTTTTTTTGTATATAAATATTTCTCTTTCCCTTAAATTTATTCATTTAATGAATAGCAATTTATTACATTTCATTTCTTAATCTTTAAATCAATCATATTAATAATATTTACTCTGTATTTATTAAGAAATGTGTTATTACAGAAATTCCAATTTTGTTCTATAAGTCTATGAACATATCTAAATGTTGTTTTAATGAAGTCTTCTGGTTTATTCTCAAAATACCTTATGTCTTAGGATATGAAGAAATTATGACATGCATATCATATGATCTCTTCTAAATGTAGGAGCATGGTATCTAGGCAACTTAAAATCTGAAATCAACTAAACAGTTATTTTAAGAGTCCACAAACCTTTTTTTTATTTTTATTTTTTTACATATACAAGACTTTTTAATGTAGAAATGAAACAAAATTTGTGCACCTATGGATTCTCATCTGACCTATTTTTGGTTTTGAAATTAACTTTGTGACTCTTTCCCTCCGTATCTTTATGAGCTGTTATTTGGAGTTATATATACTATATTAACCTAAGTCCACATTTACAATACGCAGGGGATCAGTGTGCAAAGTATAAGTCACTAAAAGAAATTTTTAATTTGCAAAGGAAAAACCCTTGTGAAGGAAATCAAGACCATATAATCTTTATTTAATAATTTACTTGTGAAAAAACAGTAATCCCTCAAGACCTTTTATAGACCCATGGGGAATTAAGATATGAAAGGAACAAATTCTGAAGATTATACTCTTAGTAATTTAGTTTAATTGAGAAAAACACACAACTTGTGGAACTTTTCAATAATGGAATATTTTAGAGAATAAAGCTCACTGAATGATTAACTACACTCGGTGTTAAAATCAGCTAGTTAAATGTTGTTTAGCAGGGTTGTTTAAAGGAATTGTTTTATAAGATAAGAAGGTGATTAAATATTAACATAGAGTTGTTATATAAATATTTCTGAAATTCTCAAGGGAGTTCTTAATAGTTTAAATATTTCAATTACTTGAGTTGAAGCATTCCTTTAAAGTCTTTCTGTTCTTATTTACCATGAATGTGACAAAACCTTTAAGTTTTAAAACTTCGATGTAGCAGAAGCGCAATTAACAAGATGTGGGGAGTGAGACTTTAGAGACAGTATTTGAGCATGTACCTCCACTAGTTGAAGTAGTGTTTTTTCCTGCTCGGATTTAAGTAGCAGTTCATTATCTTCTCCTCTGAAGTTATCACGATAATGTCTTCTGTTGTAAGGGACCCTCAAACTCTGAAGAACACCTATCTTGTTTTCTAACAGTCGGAATTGCAAACTCTGGAAGCCTGAGGCTGGAGATAAGTACTCTCTTTGAGAATAAAAGGAGGAAGGGAAGAGAAAAGAAAGATGACAGGAGTTGACATTGTAAATCACTGTAATGCTTTCTTCTGTTGTGAAAGATCATTAGTTTTACTCTCTTGGACATCACCGAGAACATATAACTGCCTAGAGTTGGACCTGGGGTTTGATCTTCCCAAAGAAAGAAAACTGAGCTACCTAAACATCACTGTTGCTGTCAGTTAATCAATTTAAAGACGGCATGTTTATATCGTTTGGGAAATGGCATATATGTGTGTGTGTGTGATATATATATATATATATATATATATATATATATATATATATATCACACACACGTATAGATACATATATGTTTATGTGTTTGTGTACCAATTTGTTTCCTAAGGTAAAGACAGGTGTACATTGAACAATATTTTTATTCTATAGTGCTGAAAGATTCTTTATTAATATTAT